CTTCTTCTTCTTCTTCTTCTTCTTCTTCTTCTTCTTCTTCTTCTTCTCAATATAAAAACAGAGCAGACAATTCTTTTTTAAACATACTTTATTCATGTATTAATATTATATATTATATAATATTATGAGATAAGGAAAAGGAAAAAAGGAAAGGAAATGTGTGGGAAAAAGGGAAAAAAGAAAACAAGGCATTGACTTTTTTGAACAACAAACCTCAACTTTTACTTTTACATAACAGCATAAGCTAGTCATTTCTACAGTGATAAGCCTATCTAATCTGTAAAATCCAAAATCAAAGTTTTATTTTTTCCTATTTTTTTTTATCTTTTCCTTTTTCTATAGGAGTCCATCTGATATTGCTACTCAGTTATATACACTTTCTTCTTTTCAGGCACAATTAAATCTGCTGTGTTATAATTATGATTCTTGGATTGTGGGCCCATGAGAGGCAACCTCAGGGAGGAGGTAAAGAAAATAATGATTGTGTGTTTTAAGCCCAGCCCCTTTTCATATGTGTGTTGCAATACATATAGAAAAGGGGTGGAGCTTTAACTTTATGGTCATGTCTTCCACCTTACCTTTTTTGACCTAGCTCTAGCATACTATTCAAGGACAAGTGGAGCTCTTGTTTGGAATATAAGTGCACAACATTGTAGTCTGGTTCTATCCCTAGCTTGCTTGAGCTTTGAGGAAATTTCTTGAATGCACAATATGCCACAGCCAATAAGGAATCTTTATTATCTTTATTATATACTAAGGAACTGTTATAAATGGACAATTGTCTACTAACAGAATAAAAATATATCCCCTTTTCTATGTTACACTCAGTACCTCTTTCTCTTACCTTTCCATAACTTAATGAAACCCCTGCTTTGCACTTCTTAGGCTTGGTGACCTTAGTTATGAATACTGTAGCATTCTTGCTTTCAGAAAACCTATTTCTTATATTTCCCATAAATGTGATCAAATACAAAAGAATCTTACATTTCTTTTGCAAAACTGCAGGCATTTTTCCTCATCTTAAACTCTCTGGAGGCATACCAAAAAGAGAGAGTAAGAATCTTGAATCACCTAGGAAACAACATAATTGGGGCTTTCGGGTTTTTTATATTATTTCAATTATTTTCAAAGTTCATACAGTGTGAACATATACATATATACCCAAAACATACATATATTTTGTGGTGTGTGTGTGTGTGTGTGTGTGTGTGTGTGTGTGTATACAACTTCTTGTGGGATTTCTAAGAGGGTCTCCCCATACAGGATCTTAGTTGGCAGGTGCTAATGAAAGAGACTGTCTTTCCAATACTAAGTTGTAAACCACTTGGGGTTCTATAGTGCAATCTTGAACTGGATCCAGCAAATCTTTAGAAGACCACAGTTAGCTGCCCCATCTGTTGGGCAGTTATTTATGCATCAGTCAAACTTCCTGATTTTCTTCAAAGGTAGGCTCATACCAGAGGTGGTATTCAGCAGGTTCTGACCAGTTCTAGAGAACTGGTAGCAGAAATTTTGAGTAGTTTGGAGAACTGGCAAATGACTGGAGATTTTACAGTATCCTTTGCCTGCCATGCCCACCAAGCCATGCCCACAGAACTGGTAATAAAAAAAAATGGAATCCCACCACTGGCTTACACTGCGTTTATTGGAGGTGTATAGTTAAACAGTTAATAGACCACAGCTCATTGAAATGGAATTACTCAAATTGAGATAGAATCATGATGTAGCTGCTAAACCTAAGTACTCTTTGCTTCTGAACTCATGCAACATGCCTGAAACATGATGGTATTAAATACATTATCATAATTAAGCATTAATTTCCTATTTCTCAAGATTCCTACTTGATGGTAGTCATTCTGAAATTATATTTGTGTTCAGCTTGAAGGGGTCTATCATAATCACTAAAAGTTTTTCAGTAAGCAAAACTTGAAAAAAATAGTCCAACGTTATCATGTCTTGGCTTGTGTCTGCTTCTTGGGAGGGGGTTGTAGAGCAAAAAAAAAAAAGCTGGCTCTTTCATGTTTTCATTGAATGAAATGTCATTCTCATCTGGCATGCACAGACATATGTATGCATAGACATATGCAGATTAGGGAGAATACCAACCTGTTCCTTGGAAAAGAAGTATTTTTTAAAGTTGATGGCTCAGGTCAGCTGAATTTAGACCCCACTCAACAGATGCCTGTTGAAAGGATAGGACTTATTTCCAGATTTGTCTCTGTAACTGTAAATTAGCACATGCATATTTTATGTAGATTATATCTTCAGAGTTTAGATTTATGTATATTGCAATTTGTATTCTGCCCATTTTCATGACACATACTCTATGGATGTGTGAATGAAGAACAAACTATTTCCCCGCCTTTTGAGAAGACAGACAAAAACAAAAGAGATTGCACTGAGCTGAAGTCAATTTGCAGTTGCAGTCCAGACCAGGTCCACATGTATGATTAAAATTAATCAAAATGGCAACCACATGTTGGGATTAAAGCTTTGCTTGTTTTTATGTGCCTTTGACCACATGTCCCAGCTGCCATTTTGAATTTTTAACCCTATTTTGCAGACACCCTGAGAGATGTATGCAGATTAGTCTTATTTATGCTTTTGGGCTGTATTGCCCACTTCCACCTAACTATGCCACAAATCATAGCAAATTCTCCTCATATCCTCATGATGTTAACTTTATCTTGCTCCAAACATGAGTGAAGCATTCTTAAGTTGCTATTAACAATATTGGTATTAAAGAAGCACCCACCCACCCTCTTATTCCATTCCATCCTATCAGGGCTTGTGATCATGTCTTAGGAGGAAGTCAAGTATATATTAAAGTGAGGAAATAACTGAAAATAGGGAGAGAACATTTCATGCTGACAAAGTTTTCTGCCAACTGAAAGAAGAGTAAATGGGACTTCAGCTCTGTAGTGGGAAAAGGGTTTCAAATAGGTATGTATGAAACACAATATTCAAATTACAACATTATCCACAGTGTAAAGGGGGACCTAATTCTGATGAAGTGAGATAATCATATGTCTGTGGGAATTCTAAGGCATCCAGGCCATGGTTGTACCAAAAATGCTTTTTGAAGGGGCAACTGGACTTTCTGTTTTTTCTTTGAAGACATTTTTCTTTGAAGACATTTAACTTCTCATCCAAGAAGCTTATGTCAAAATTGAACAGCCCTCTCTCAATGGAGGGGGAGGGATACAACATCATCTATCTCCTGTCTATATACAGCCCTTTCAACAGTTCCAAGAAGAACCCATTTGCACTACTCAGGTGACCCTGATGACACAGATAAACCTCCAGGTGGCCTTAACAACTTGCTAAAAGAATGCAAATGACCAGCTGCCTGCAAGGAGTATAAATGGGGCGTTGGTCCTACCTGAATGCTTCTTCTCAGGGAGCCAAAGGGAGAGTCCAGGATTGGTAGTGTCTAGTCTCCTGGCTCTGCAGACAGAGTTGAAAAACTGAGGACACACCCCCTGGTAACAGTCCCCAGTTATGAACAACGTCAAAGCTAATTTAGCTCCTCCTCCTCCTCAAACAGATACCTTAGTTGACACTGCGAAAAAAGGGGACATTTCCTCCCTACAGAATACAGGGTGGGACTGGACTCTCCCTTCGGCTCCCCGAGAAGAAGCGTTCAGGTAGGACCAATGCCCCTTCTCCACTGAGCCAAAGGGAGAGTACTGGATGGGACATACCAAAGATAGCTGATGGCTGTCCTATGGGTGGGAACTGGATTGGTCGGAGGTCTCCACTTCTACATGAACACCCTGCAGGACTCGTCTTCCAAAGACAGCCTCTGCTGAGGCAAAGGAATCAATTTTGTAATGTCTTATGAATGGGGTCACCGATGACCAGGTCGCAGCTCTACAAATGTTCAGAATTGATGCCTGCGTTGCCCAGGCTGCAGTGGTCGCTGCACTTCTGGTTGAGTGTGCAGTGATTCTCCTGGGTACAGGAAGCCTCTAGTAACTCATAGGCCTTTGCAATGCAGGCTCTGAGCCAGCGACCCACTGTGGAAGGTGTCACCCTGTGATCCAAAGTTGACAGCTGAAAGGAAATGAACAGGGCTTCTGTCCTCCTAAGGGAATAGGTTCTTTTAATGTAAATACGGAGGGTCCAAGATGTGCCACTTTCTCTCCAGTGCATGGGTAGGCTCTGGGCAGAAGTTAGGCAAAATCAACTCCTGTGAACGTTGGAATAAGGAGTTCACCTTGGGCAGAAAGGTAGGGTCCAACCACAGAACCACCCTGTCTGCATGGAATACACACAGATCCTTCCTGATGAATAAGGCTGCCAACTCCGAGATATGCCTGGCTGAGGTAATGGCCACCAAGAATGACACCTTGCATGTGAGTAAGTGAAGGCTGACTTTATGCAAGGGTTCAAATGGGGGAGAAGTCAGTGCCTACATGACCTTAGGCAAATCCCAGATGGGGTAGCGGTGGACCACCGGTGGCTTCAAATTCATGGCTCCCTTAAGAAAGGCTTTCACCCTAGGGTGTTGGGCCAGAGAAGGAGAGTCCTTGACCGAAATCACTGAGGCCAAGGCAGCCACCAGATGAACTGCAAGATTGTCCCCAAACGTGAGAAATGACCGCCGCCGCCAAAAAAGGGGGCATTTAGCAGCAGATGCGGCTAGCCTAAGTCAAGGAAAAGTGGATCCGGAGAAGGCAAGTTAAATAAGACGCCACCTCCCGCCCCCAGCCTGGGCCACACAGACTCTCAGGGTCACCTCCACCCAAATTCCAACCAGAAAGGGGAAAAATACCCAGTCCACTAGCAAGGAAAGTTTAAAAATTAAATAATAAGCAAAAAACCCCACAAAACGAAAATAAGGCGCAAAAATAATGAAAGTGCTAAACCGGCAAGCCGGCTAGCTGTCAAACCTGATCTAAGCCTCTCTAAGACAAAAAAAAGCTTAATCCAGGGGATGAAAATTCTCCTACAATCTGAACTATTCAGAGCCCTTAAAGGGTGGTCTGAACATGCTGAGACCGAGTGAAGAACTGGGGACCGTTACCAGGGGGTGTGTCCTCAGATTTTCAACTGGGTCTGCAGAGCTAGGAGACTAGAGACTACTCATCCTGGACTCTCCCTTCGACTCAGTGGAGAACCTTCCATTCCCCACCATCCAGTCAGATCTGAAGAAGCTTCTTGGATGAGAAGTGAAATGTTTTCGAAGAAAAAACAGAAAGTCTAGTTGCCTCTTGAAAAAGAACCTTTGGGACAAGATAATCATATCTGATTTATTTCTCTAATTCATTGTTCCCCAAGTAGATGCCTGCTAGATAGGGGCTTCAGACCTACTTCCATCTGAGGCAGATGGGAGTTGTAATCCAACACATTTGGAGACCATCTAGATCAGGGAAGGCCACCTTTTCACTGCTTTCCTTGCTGGCAAACATGCTCAGTCTGGCATAGCCAGGGTAGCTGTTTCTTCTTTGGGATGCTAAGTGCCATGCCTAAAATCTCTTTGTGAAAAGATGTTATTGGTTTTGATAAATCAAATGCTCACTTTCTTGAATGCTATTTGGCTACAGAGCCAAATTTTGAATTGATACAGAGAAGAGGAATAGTCCCCCCCTCAAATCATGGAATTTCTTCTCTCTCTGGTTCATTTCTGCTGATACAATCAGACTAAGACAAAAACGCTGAGCTCCTAAGCTCCTGCTCAGAATCCATCCCCTGGGATTCCTCCCAAGAGAAGTCTGATGCTCTTCTCTGGGAATGAGCTAGAAAGGATTTGTGAAGGCGATTTCCCAGGATTTGATGAAAAAAAAAAAAGGCCTCAGGAATGGTGGCTGACGTGTTTAATTAACTTTTTCTTGGTAGTTTAAACAAATTTTATTTCTCTTGTACAGCTCTGAGAATTTCCTATGTAAAAGCGCAAAATTTGAGATTCAGATCTTATGGACATAATAAAACCAGGGATGGCAGAGTGAGAACACCATAGAGAGCAGGAGATTAACAAAAGGTCACGAAGAATTTCTGCTTTAGCGAAATCAACCCATCTGCAGCTCTATTTTAGAATGTGCTGAAAACCAAACCAGAAATGGTATCAAATACATTGATTGTAGTCAATATGCTCATGTTTAGAAATGTTTGAGTAGCCACTGCTTATAGTGAGTGCATTGGTACAGTTGGAAAAATTGAAGAGGAACATAGGCTCATAGACTCAAAGGGGTGAAAGGTACTTTGGAAGTATTCTACTCCAACCTCCTACCCTGGGCAGGAATCTTCAGACCATCACAGGCAAATAGCTGTCCAATTTCCATTTGAGGAAGGTCAAGGAGTATCCATAACTCCAGAAGGCAGACTGTTCTTCAGCTAAAAGATCTCACGGTCAGGAAATTCCTCCTTGATTTGAGTTTAGCTCTATCTCTGCAAAGCTTCCCCTCATTGGTCCTTGTCTTGCTCTCAAAAGCTAAGAAGAATGCATCCATATTTTCTTCCTCATGGCAGCAATTCAGATATTGGGAGACTGGAGGTAGTACATTCATCTTTGCTCTATTGACCTCTCAGCAGCCTTCAATACCATTGCCCTTGGGGTCCTTCAGTTTCAACTCTGGCAGTTGGGGACACTGGTTGTCTTCTTTCCTTCAGGGCTGGTCCCAGTTGATGTTGATTGGGAGTGAGGAGTCCTGTCTTCACTCCCTACTATGTAGGGGACTGCAGAGTTTAGTACTTTTTCTGCTTTGGTGTAATATCTACATGAAACTACTGGGTAAGATTAGCCATAGCCATGAGGTGAAGTAACATCAGTATGCTGATCATAGCCAGTGTCATATCTCCACTCCTGGTAAAATGACGTTACAGTCTTGGTGTTGGGAAGCTACAGTGGTTTGAACAGTGAACAATGGATCTCAACTCAACATTAGCAAGTGGTTTGGGGTTTTGGAGCCATGAGGCTTCAGAAATGTACCATGTTTAGATCTTGGCACTACCCCAGCAAACTCAGTATACAATCTGGGGCAATTCCTTCTGAACTCATGACACGTAATCAAATAGCAAATGACAGTTATGGCTTGGAGGGCATTTATATAACTTTGAGTTGTGCACCAGTTATACCCATTGTACCCATTATTCCTTGATCAGGAAGCTCTATGCTCAGTCACTCATAACCCGGGTACCTCCCATATGGATTTTTGTACTGTGGTCTACATGGAACTGCCCTTGAAGAGCATGTGGAAGCTTCAGACGCAGTCACTATTTATTTACTTACTTATTATTTGTTTCCTGCCTTTATTATTTTTATAACCAATCCAAGGCAGTGAACATATCCAATACATCTTCCTCCTCCTACAGAGCCAACTGAAAGGGCATTTGCAGGTCCTATCTACAAATGAATGTCATTTGGCAGGACCCAGAAGGAAAGTCTTTTCTACCTCAAAACCACCCTTTGCAACACCATGCCCTCAGGATGAGATTGGCCTCAAACTTGTTGTCCTACCAAAAGAGCTTGAAGACATGGCTTTGCCATCCGGCATTGAGATCTAGTGACATTGGTGAAGAGCCTCCTAACTCGCTATATTTCTAGGAAAATGACTAGTGCTCTCCCACAGCACATTCTGGTTATAGACCTATTGCAAGGCTTCTGTCCTATTACAATGCATTAAACACTGAAACTAAGCATGTCATGTAAAAGAAACCATAATGCTAAGTCAAAATGTAATTTGGTTTTGCTTCTTAGTTGTTTGAATATAGCCAGTGTGGTTAAACACTCTTCAAAAGCACATTTGAATCAAAGTGACTTAATATGCAGTATGCAGAATATGCAGTAAGCTTAGAGCTTTTGTTTTATTTTAAATAAAAAACCAAACTCTCATAATTTATTTTTTTCAAAAGAGCTCAACAGGCAGAACACAAACAAAAATGTTTTTAAATGAAGTGCGGTTTCAGCTACCAAGAAAATAAATAAACAAATATATATATAGTTATAGTTATAGTTATATATACATATATGGTTTTATATATATATATATATATGGTTATATATATATATTAGATAGTGTGCCTTAATCTTGCTTTCAGAGTTTGTCCAAAAGATATTTAAAAAACCCAAAATGTTGAAATTATTCCAGAAGGAATGTGTTAATTGTCATGGCAACAACTTGATATGTGTCTGAGGTGACTGTGCATACAGCAAATTCACTGTGTTACCTTGCTTTCACCTATCTGAACATGCAGAGCAGTCTAGTCAATTGCAGTTCCACTGATTCATATTACCAGTATTACTATTCATCAGTATTAGCTGTCTTAGCTCATCAGTTTTCTTGGCAAATCTATTGGAGATGTAAATAGGAGATTCTGAATCAGCATCTCAGTCTCTTCCCCTAATTTGGCTTGCTTTGTTTTGTTACTTTTATCTACAGTAGTAGATTTTCAAAGCTGAGAAGACAGAGTTCAATCCACCCTGGATTCATCAAGTGGGTCCCAGAAATTGACTAATCTCTAAAGTACAGGAAGTGATTACAGCCTGGAAGATGTAAGAATCAGACCATTTGTCTACATTGCCTCCCTCTTCATTCCGCACCATGGTGCAAGATCAGAATAAGTGCCACAATGAAATCACTCCAGAGAATTAAACCCATTATACATTAACTCCAGGGAGACTGAGCCAAAGAACATAATTGCAAAAACTCTACTGTGTTTTGTGCTCAGTGTGAACCCATCTTAACCATTTGCTTTGCATATGTGACACAAAAATCTATTGAGTGACTTTTTCATGAATTACAAGGCGAGCAAGAATTTCAGCTGCTCGAAAAAAAGAAAAGGAAAAGAAAATATGGGTTCCTCTCCATTGCCTTCCAGGTTTCTTTTTTAATGTTTTAACTATAATGCCTTTAATAGTTCCAAGGCAAACTTAGACACAGAACAGGATATGCTGTAGGGTATCTCTACTACCACAGACTTCAGCGTTCCTTCCAGTTCCTTTCTCCTCGTTGATCTTGGCAACAGATCATACATCTCAATATAAACTGTGTCCATTGTTAACTTGGCCTAATATTTCTTCATGGCTAGAACAAGACTTCTCTTCCCTGCCACAAACACCTTCAGCCAAACTGTTGCTATACCTCTCAAAAGTTGTCAGCTATTTCTCTTTTCTCTGTATGTCTCTCTCTGTGTGTTTCTACATACAAGCACGTTCATGCGCACACCCACCCATGTGTATATCTGCATACCTCCTTCTCCTCTTACCCTTCCTCCTCTGCCTCGTTCTCTCCCCTCCTCATCCTCCCTCCCTTCCTTCCCTCTTCTTTCTTCTTCTTCACTATCATCTATCCTCATCATCTCTGTCTATCTAAAACCAGGCAATGTGATGGGAAATCGGCAGGATCACTGTAAAGATGACAATAGGAATGAAAAATTCTGAGTTTGTGGGGGTGGATTTGCTTGTTTTGAAAAACTGTGAATCCTATTTTGGGATTTATATTATAATTCATGAGTCCCCCAACAAGGGAAACTGTACCACCATATTTCAACAATGCAATCACAGTTTGTCTATGAGCAAGGGATGAAATTTTGGAATTTAAAGGTCTCTGAAATTGAGTATTTGATGAGCCCAACATGTGGCATTTGGTAAACACAATTGGGTGCTCCTACAATAAAAATGTGATAGGAATATTTATTATGTATTTATGTATTAAATGTATATCTTGCCTTTTCTCAGGAATTCATAAGGTTCTCCCTTTTTGTCCCCACAACAATTTTCCAGTGAGGTAGATTGACTGTCCCTAAATCACTCAGTGGGTTTCCATGGTAGAAGGTGGATTTATACCCGAGTCTCTCCAGTTTTATCCTCTCATTTTAACTAATATACACTGCTCAAAAAAATTTAGGGAACACAAAAAAAGAAGACATCCTAGATCTGAATGAATGAAATATTCTTATTAAATACTTTGTTCATTACATAGTTGAATGTGCTGACAACAAAATCACACAAAAATGATCAATGGAAATGGATTTCCGGTTTGCAAGGCTGTGGAGGCGGCAGGAATCTGCGATCGTGCGCGGTTCCTGCTGCGCTCACTGCCGAAGTGCCTCCGATCCAGCTGGATCTGGAGGATATGGTTGCCCCGTAGAGGCAACCGAAGAGAGAGGAGATCCGGGTAGGGGTTTGGAGGTATCACAAACCCCCTCCTCAGCCAGCTAAACTCCTTTTTCCCAAGGCGGTGGAACTTCGGTCAGCAATGGCCGCCACAAAGAAGCCTGCAGCTGGGTAAGATTGTGCAGGAGGAAGTTGGAGAAAGTGAAAGTTTTCTGGCTGAACTGGGACAACAAGGAACTTTTAAACACCCTGGAATTTTAATTGCTTGAATGATACATTGTTTCCTAAGAAGACTGGAAAGCGGCGGAAGAAAATCGAAAGGGAAAGTAATTTTTTCTCACTCTCCCTCCCCATGGAAATAGCTGATGGAAATCGGAAAAACCTGCTTGAGCACAGAAGGTAACTAAACTTGAAATTTAAAGCCAAGGGGATAAAAGATTTCTGAACATTGGAATTAAAAACTAAAACCTTTTTTGCTATAAGTGGGAGGGAAGAGGTAAAGAACTTATTTTAAGATTGTATTGAAGGAGACTGCTTGGAGTTTATAAGACCAGAAATAAATGGCAATAAGACTTCTAAAAAATTACTTTGGAACTGTGTAATTGAACTCTACCCCAGGAAGAGAAAATATAAAAAGAAGAAAGTACTAAATGAAACAATTTGTTCTGATTTGGATTGCTTTGTGACTTTGGGATTTTTGGGAACTATTTCTTGAAAGATTAAAAACATTCAGGTTGTTCTTAAGAAAAAAAATGGCATTATCTGTTGAAGAATTGCAAATGGAATTTCAAAAGCTAAAAGAAGAGGAACAAGAAGGCAAGGGCTCTTCTGGATCTATTTTTCACTTTTTAGAAATGGTGATTTCTACCTACCAAGAAATACAACAACAAGAAGGCTGGGATGAAGGAGAAGAAGCCATCTTTAATGGACAGATAATCTCACTTGAGGAAGAAAAGAGAAAGGGGGGAAAGAAAATGGAGAATTAAGAACTTAAAAAAGCAACCAAGAAAGGGAAAAATAAGATGAAAAATCGATACAATGTCAGAAAGCAACAGAAAAGAGAAATACAACAGAGAGGGAAGATTAAGAGAGTGGAGTTTGAGAGGGGGGGGGGCAAAAAGGCTAGAATTGATAAGAAAGGAAGGGAAAAAGGAAAGAGAAGTCATAAAGGTTTAAAACAAGATGTTAAAAAACAGGTTTTTTTCAGAGACAAAGGGTAAATTATAATTTTAAAAATGATTCTGCAAAAGTACATAAGATTGTATTGTAGATATTAGTATTTGAAATAGAGTTAGAAAACTGAAATATTATATGAGTTAATAATGCATTAAAGGGAATGTATAAAAATGTTTAAGATTTAATAATAGAGTTTAACTTTCTATGGAATATTGTTTTTACTATCTTATAAACTTAATTCTCTCTTTTTTAAAAAAATTATTCTAAAATGTGATACTTAGAATGCACTAAGCAGAATCAGTATGGAAAGTATGTATTATTTTAAGTGTTAAATTTAGGGGAAAGATAAAAAGTTGTCATACTTCAGCCAGTGATTACAGGAGAAATATTGTATTAGAAAGAAAAGATAAATAGATAATTGAAAGAGAACGGACAAAAGATGCAAGTATAATTATCTAAACTGAGATGAAATAAATAAAATAGAATTAAGAGAGTGAATGAAGAGAGAAAATATATAGAAAAT